CTAAACCCCTAAACCCCTAAACCCCTAAACCCCTAAACCCCTAAACCCCTAAACCCCTAAACCCCTAAACCCCTAAACCCCTAAACCCTTAAACCCTAAACCCTAAACCCGCTTACACCCCAAGCCAGAAAGATGCCCATCTCGCAACCAACGGCACCCAAGCCTTGCAGCTGCTTGGCACCCATGCCAGTGGCTTAGGGTTTAGGGTTTAGAGTTTAGGGTTTAGGGTTTAGGGTTTAGGGTTTAGGGTTTAGGGTTTAGGGTTTAGGGTCTGACCCTGAGGCATGCATTTCTAGGATGGCCCTCAAGACCCTCTGACAAGATATGCCTAAATGTGATCCTCTGAAACCCAATAGGGAAAATATAGCATTTTTCAAGGGCCTACCTAGACCTTAAACCCGAAACCCTAAACCCTAAACCCTCAACCCTGTGCACATCACCACAAAAGCTAAAACCAGCTGCAGGACAAGTAAGGGACCAGCAAGGTCCGAGTTTGCCAACTCCTGCAGCCTACAGATACAAATAATCTGGCTTTGATATATTTCGGGCCTGGGATTCAGGTTTTAGGGTTTAGGGTTTAGCTACTTAACCCGGTATCAAAGCATATGCGCCAGAAACCAATATATAATGCGCAAGGACATTCCGCGGACTCTGCACAGCTGCGGCTCCTGGATGCAAGCTACCACCGCATGTCACACCGCTATTGGTGATTGGAGCCAAAACACCACGAACCATGAGACTTGACATGCAAGCGAAATTTGGCCTAAAGGCTCAACATAACTCAGGCAGTACAGGCTGGCTACCGCAAAGCAAGTGCTACAAAGCCGATACTCGGATAGCTTCAGGTTGCATGGCAGCAAGCCGTATCGACGCCACTGTCGGTCAATTGTGATTTTACGTCTTTCGTAAATCGTTTGGACATCTCGTCGGAACTGCGCGTTTTGTACTCTAACATCGAAAAAAGAAGCCTGTCTCATGTTGTACCGATTCGATTTCGTTGCTTTGCACTAAGCATAGGACTCATTTTTTCTGAGGGGCTCGGAGGGGTTGTAGGGTTAAGGGTTCACCTGGCCTGCACACTCTAAAAGTCCTAAACCCTAAGCCCTAGACCCTCTAACCCCTGGATTGAACCCTGAGCCCGAAAAACCCACCGACAACCCCAGCCCTAAGTACTCAGTGCTGACCCCCTGAACCTTGAACGCCAGGCCCTGAAACTTTCACCCGAGTGCAAAACCCACACACAGAAGACCAACCCTAAATACCTGGAAGCCCTTAAGTCCAAAACACCGGAAGCCAGAGCCAACAAACACCCTTTGTCAAAGCATGTGTCTACCATGACCTAGATCTTCCCAAGCCCATAAACCATCAACCCAAAGCCCTAAACCCGACACCCGAAACCCTACAAGCCTCAAGCCTCAAGCCTCAACCATCATTAAACCCCAAAACCCTAAACCCTAAACCCTACACCCTAAACCCTAAACCCTGAACCCTAAACCCTACACCCTAAACCCTAAACCCTAAACCCTAAACCCTAAACCCTAAACCCTAAACCCTAAACCCTAGGCTGCGGGCCTGCGGATGAGAGCTTGAAGCTTCAAGCCCCGGAAGCCCCCACAAAACCCTGAACTGCGCCGTAAACCCTCCTACACCCGCAAACTGCCCCATAAACCCTCTTCAAGCCCCCCCAAACCCACCCTAAACCCTAAACCCTAAACCCTAAACCCTAAACCCTAAACCCTAAACCCTAAACCCTAAACCCTAAACCCTAAACCTTCAGAGCAGCCGAGGAGTGGACTCCCCCAGACATCTCCGAGCCCACCGTGAAGGCCGCGGCGTTGCATCCCCTGGCGTCTCATTGCTGAGGGCTTACTGGGTTTAGGCTTAGTTCAGTTTAGGCTTATTCGGTTTGGGGATTAGGGTTTAGGGTTTAGGGTTTAGGGTTTAGGGTTTAGCTTTTAGGGCTACTAGGGTTTAGGGTTTAGGGCTGTTAGGGCTGTTAGGGCTGTTAGGGCTGTTAGGGCTGTTAGGGCTGTTAGGGCTGTTAGGGCTGTTAGGGCTGTTAGGGCTGTTAGGTTTAGATTTAGGGCTTCGGGTCCAAACCCTGAACCCCAAATCCAAGACTAGCAGCACAATCCTTGCCCCCAACACACGAAGGCAGCTATCCAGCTTGGTGCTCAACTTAGGGTTTGGGGAGTTTAGGGTTTAGGCTTCAGGGTTCAGGGTTTAGGGTCTAGGGTTCAGGGTTTGGCGCTCCCCAGTCGATCACCCACAACTGCATGTTTTGACATAAACGAAGCCTCCTGGAAGCAAATCGAGAACTTTCCGATGATCAAATATTCCTTCAGGTCTGAGCTCATGAGCCTCTGTACAGCTTTGGCTGAAGCAACAGAGAAGACATCGGCAAGATCGACTTGCTCCCAGAAAGCTTCGTTTGCGTTTAAAATGGCATAGTGGGTGAGGGGGGGGGGAGGGGGGAAGGGGGGACGCTCCCGTTAAGGATGGCTCGCAGCACGCTATGAACCGCGAAGTCCTGCCGAACGCAAAGCCGGCCACATCGTGGTTTAAGGCATGGACAGACATCGTGCCAAGCTCGGGCCGACAAGGGCCCAGAACGCTGTGCCGACAGGTTTCGGGTTTAGGGTTGCCCAACTTCGTCTTGACTCCCGGAACAAACCAACAATGGCATACATTCTGGGTAAAGACGTCTCTGATTACACCCTAAACCCTAAACCCTAAACCCGAGAGCCTCGTCTGTCGCACGGCCACCCGACGGATGGTGATGTTTTCGGTGGCCATCGCCAGCCCTCGCCTTGTTGGGTTTAGGGTTTAGGGTTCAGGGTTTAGGGTTTAGGGTTTAGGGTTTAGGGTTTAGGGTCTAGGGTCTAGGGTTTAGGGTTTAGGGTTTAGGGTTTAGGGTTTAGGGTTTAGGGTTTAGGGTTTAGGGTTTAGGGTTTAGGGTTTAGGGTTTAGGGTGTGGCAGGTTCCTTGTTCAGAGCTTAGGGCTTGAGGGGTTTAGGGCTTAGGGGGTCTGTTTTTACAATGTTTTCAGGGCTTCGGGCTTTAGGGTGCATACCGAGCCGTCGATCCTAAAGTCAAGGGTTTAGGTTTTAAGGTTAAGGGTTAAGGGTTTAGGGTTTAGGGTTTAGGATTTAGGGTTGAGGGTTGAGCCCTCAATGCCTACTTAATTCGCTTCCCCTGAACCCCTCGACAGGAAAGCGCAGGTTTGTTTCATGGGTTTGGGGTCTTGGTGCTTGCTTTTCCTGTTGTTTCAAGAGTAAGATGGCTTCATGAACTAAACCCTAGACCCTAAACCCCAAACCCTCAACCCTAAACCCTGAGCCCCAAGCCCCAGATTGCGCAATTCGTCCAAAAGCTCAGGCGTGCGCTTCGTTCTTAGGATGCTTTCGGGCTGAGCCTTCGGAACCCTCAACCCAGGAACCCGGACCCCTAACCCTAAACCCTAAACCCTAAACCCTAAACCCTAAATCCTAAACCCTGAACCCTGAACCCTGAACCCTGAACCTTAAGCCCTAAACCCTAAACCTGTTTCAGGGCTCGATTCGGGTCATTGACCCCTATGTTGAACACACAAAGCCCCCAACCCCTAAGCTTAGGCTGCTTCCCCCTAAAACCCCTACATCCATCCTAGACCCTTGTATCCTAAACCCCAAACACTACACCCTAAACCCTGAACCCTAAACCCTGAACCCTGGACCCTGAACCTTGAGCACCCGCGCCCGAAGCAATCCCACCCGCTCTTCACGGCCACCGCATCATCCCCGGTCTGGAAGTAGCAATCCTCCCACCGGCAAACCCTAAACCCTAAACCTCAAACCGAGGTCAGCTTAGGGGCTTTCACGTTCCTCAACTGTGGTGCTTAAGCCCGGCAAAAGCCCAAAGTTTGGTGTGTAAAGAAGTAATTGAGGTTTCGGTGAAGTTTCGGGGACCAAAGTAGCCTCATTTTAGTCTAGGGTCCCGGGTTTAGCGGCTTTGAGTGCTGAATGCCACAATCAAAGTCCAGGCACAACGCACTTTCCATCTAAAGCCCTCAGGCCAAAACCCTAAACCCTAAGGCCTAAAGCACTAAGGCCTAAACCCTACCCCCTTGGTGAGCAGAAGATTCGGGGGCCATGGACTGCCCAGTAGCGAAAAGAAAAGTGTGCCTTTTTGGTGTGTAGTTCGGGGATTAGGGTTTCGGGTTTAGTTTAGGGTTTAGGGTTTAGGGTTTAGGGCTTTGGGCTTAGGGCTTAGGGCTTAGGGCTTAGGGCTTAGGGCTTAGGGCTTAGGGCTTAGGGCTTCGGGCTTAGGGTGTAGGGTTTAGGGCTTAGGGTTTAGGGAATTTTGAACGCGAGCCTAGGGTTTAAGGCTCAGAGTTTCGGGTCAAAAAGTAGCTTCCTCGATGAGCACGTGCCGGCTAGAATCTGGATTCACGCCGTCCGTGTTGGTCGGGCGGACGGGGGGGTCCCACCTCAGATCATTCTTTTAGGGTTTAGGGTTTAGGGTTTAGGGTTCAGGGTTCAGGGTTCAGGGTTTAGGGTTTAGGGTTTAGGGTTTAGGGTTTAGGGTTTAGGGTTTAGGGTTTAGGGTTTAGGGTTTAGGGTTTAGGGTTTAGGGTTTAGGGTTTAGGTTAGGGTTTAGGGTTTAGGGTTTAGGGTTTAGGGTTTAGGGTTTAGGGTTTAGGGTTTAGGGTTTAGGGTTTAGGGTTTAGGGTTTAGGGTTTAGGGTTTAGGGTTTAGGGTTTAGGGTTTAGGGTTTAGGGTTTAGGGTATCGGGTCTTGGGGCTTGGGGCTTGCAGTGGAAGGGTCGAAGGGTTGTGGGGGTTCGAGGTTCAACCCTAAACCCTAAACACCAAACCCTAGAAAAAACCCTAAAACCCTAAACCTGAACAGTAAACCCTAAGCCCTAAACACTAAACCCTTTGAGCAACTGTTCGATCTTGCTTCGCCTCGCAACTGCTCAGCTTCTTGGCTGTTTTCGCAGACTGGCCTTGATGATGATCTTCAGCCAAAGTAAGCGTGAACCTCTGGAAAATTCGATCTCACTTTGTCACGAAGCCGATCCTTGTCATTTGGTGGGATACCAGCAATCCCAGCCCAACCGTGGTGGTCTTCCCAGTACTGAGTTCTCGCACGCTTTGCACGTGATGCTTGGGAACCCACCACTTCCCAGATGAGTTCCATGAACTGCTGCGTCAGAGCCGTAGATGTAAAGGACATCTCCGCAGCATCCTCCTGACATGGAGGGTGATGTCACATGACGGTTCAAACATTTCTGGCCTGTATGCCTGCACGTAAGTCTGGCGATCCTATGACCAAACCTGTTCAGGGTGTAGCAACACTGCGTCCTGAATGAGACCCTGGACTTTTCGCAGAATGCCGCAAGCATCCTGCTCTATGTAATTGTCCATGAGGTAGCGCTTGCCTGGCCATGTTGTGCGTAGCGAAAACGCGGTCATTGATCTATCACTGCGAGAATACCCTTTTGTGGGGTCTCTTTAAGGGAATTCCACTATTTTGGGGGGGTTTAAAAAGGGGTAGCCTTTTTTTGGGAAATACCATATAGCGCTTTGGGTGCGGAGTCAACTCATAGTGTTAGCACGGGAGGAGAAGCTGCGAGAAACAGTGAGAGCCAAGTTGCATTTGTCTAAGTCATCACGGAAGAAGGATGTCTCTGTATCCTCCTGAAATTTGAACGCCGGGTACAGACGTTTCTCGACGTTGCGTTTGTTCATGTACATGGCTTTCAGGTGCTTTACACATTTGCTTTTCAATCCGGCCAAGGCATACTTCACAGACACCTCAGTAAGCGCATAGACATTTGCGTCTGTCACGACGCCGTCCGCACCAGCTGATGGGAGAAGAAACTCCAAGAGAATGCAGAAGGTCGAATCACTGACGTCAGGAAGATGCAGCTCCTTCGTGAGACTCTCCTGAGTTGGCCTCTAAACCCTCTGAAAAATATGTATAGATAGGGTCCCTTATAAGCCCCAACAAGGACAAAAAAAAAGTCCCAAAACCAACCTAGTCTCCTTAAACTCGCCGGCCAAGGACGCCTTCCAGACGTCGGAGCTCAGTGCGAGTACCACCGCTGGGACAAGGTAGGGTTCCTCGCGATCCTTGACCTGGCGGCTTATTGGCTGGGCGGTCTATAGGGTTTAGGGTTTAGGGTTTAGGGTTAAGGGTTTAGGGTTTAGGGTTAAGGGTTTAGGGTTTAGGGTTTAGGGTTTAGGGTTCAGGGTTCAGGGTTCAGGGTTCAGGGTTCAGGGTTCAGGGTTCAGGGTTCAGGCTGCCCTTTCTTGGGGGGTCCTTTGCCTTGAAGATCCCACCCTTCAGGACTTTGTACTGGGATCCCGGGTGGTTCATGGCACTTTTTAACAAATTCTAACCATGTTAGGACACTTACGGGGCTTATGAGTGGTGATAAGTACAGCTATACTTGGTTCATAAGCACCATGAACCACCAAGTAGTGCATTGAAAACTCCCACCTTCACTTTGATTGTCCCGTCCAAAGCAGCCACGGATTCAAGCTTCTGAGCATGGTCCGCCATCCTTACAACGAGGCTGCCAAGCCTGGGACAGCCACGTTTCTGACTGCAAAGGAAGGAGGGTTTAGGGTTCAGGGTTCAGGGTTTAGGGTTTAGGGTTTAGGGGTTAGGGGTTACGGGTTAGGGTTTAGTCACGAGGTTGCAATGTCTGAGCTGATTTCTCTTCCTGAGCTAGCTTGAGCAAAGGTGCGCAGCATCACGACATGGCACCTGCGATGCAACCACATCGGGTTTGCAAGTCCAGTCGAGTGTTTAGGGTTTAGGGTTTAGGGTTTAGGGTTTAGGGTTTAGGGTTTAGGGTTTAGGGTTTAGGGTTTAGGGTTTAGGGTTTAGGGTTTAGGGTTTAGGGTTTACGGTTCAGGGTTTAGGGTTTAGGGTTATTCTGTAACCCGAACAACGAAGCATGAACGCCATTTGCTGGCTGTCAGTGGACCTGAAGTGCCTTAACTCCGAATCTACGCTGGAGCCCGCCTTGATGGTGCACACCAAAAGACCCCGAAACCCTAAACCCTAAACCCTACTCCCTAAACCCTAAACCCTAAACCCTAAACCCTAAACCCTAAACCCTAAACCCTAAACCCTAAACCCTAAACCCTAAACCCTAAACCCTAAACCCTAAACCCTAAACCCTAAACCCTAAACCCTAAACTAAACCCTAAACCCTAAACCCTAAACCCCTAAACCCTAAACCCTAAACCCCTAAGCCCCTAAGCCCCTACACCCCTACACCCTGAGCCCTACTGGTTCCTAAACCCTAACACCTAAACCCCCCTAAATCCTAAACCCTATGCCAAAAAAACTCTACACACCCAAGCCCCCCGAACAAGACCCGGGCGAAGAGGGCTCAGGGTTTCGGGTTTAGGGCTTAGGGTTTAGGGTTTAAGGCTTCGGGTTCTAGATTTTAGGGTTAAGGCTTCTCTAACAGGGGTGTGTGGTTTGGGCTCCTGGCTTTACCTATAATCCGATAAACCCTGCATAGAACCCTGTACAAACCCTGTATGACACCCTTTCTGAAAGCCTGTACAAAACCCTACATAAACCCTATATTAAAGCCCGATAGTAAAGCCCTGTAAGCCCGACAAAACCCAAAAAAAACCCCTCAACAACCGAAACCCGGTAAACATCTCTAGGACAGGGGCGGCTCCACCAGAACGGTCACATGCTGGACGGTGACCTTAGTTGCTTAGGGGTTCAGGTTTAGGGTTTAGGGCTGTAGGGCTCAAGGGCTACAGGGCTTCGGTATTAAGGGGCCTCGGGCCCCGAACAAACTAAGACCCCAAAGACCAGGCTGAGCCAGAAAAACGCGGGCAGGAACCAGGACACCCAGAACATGGTTTAGGGTCTAGGATTAGGGTACCGGAAAACCCTAGACCCTGAACCCAAATCCCAAACCCGACTGAGCCCCTAAACCCTAAACCCTAAACCCTAAACCCTAAACCCTAAACCCTAAGCCCTCTCGGGACTTTGCTGCACCTCGAAGGAAGGCTTCGGGCGCTTCTCAGGATCTGACGCCCTAAAAGCCCTAAACCCGAAACCCTAACCCTAAACCCTAAACCCTAAACCCTAGACCCCCCCCTAAACCCTCATCCTTCACTCCTGTTTCCTAAACCGTTCACCCTCAAACCTAAAAACGACCCGCCAGCCTTCCTGAATCCCTAAAGCCCTGAATCCCTAAAGCCCTGAATCCCTAAACCCTAAACCCTAAACCCTAAACCTTAAACCCTGAACACGCCAAACCCTGAAGACCCACAGCTTCAATCTGGGACTCTGGTGCCCCAACAGAAAGACTCACAAGCCCCTAGCCAGTTCTTAGAAGCTTCAGGGTTGAGGGTTTAGGGTTTCGGGTTTAGGGTTTAGGGTTTGGGGCTTGGGGGAAACCCAAACCCTAAACCCGAAACCCTAAACCCTATACCCCCCAAAGCCTCAACTCAACCTGGGCCGTGAGGCATACTCGCAATTCCAGAGGTGCACCGTCCAAAAGCCTGGGTTCCTGCCAGGGAATCAAGAGGAGGTTACATTTCCAGGGAATCAAGGCGAGGTTACATGCTCCCACCCTAAACCCTAAACCCTAACGCCTTGTGCCTTCTTGACAGTGGGTTCAGAAGTATGGGCATTTGGGCTTCATCTGTAAGTTCTTCTACACCAACAACAAAAAGCATGAACATAAAACACCAATCACAACACACACCCTTGTATACATGTATGTATACATATATATATATATATATGTCTATGTATGTAGACGTTAAAGAGAAGAGAGAGAGAGAGAGAGAGAGAAAGAGACAGAGAGAGAGAGAGACAGAGAGAAAGAAAGAACTGAACAAAAAAAGAAGGAAATAAAGAAAGACAAAAAGAAAGAAAGAAAGAAAGAAAGACAGCAAGAAAGAAATAAACAAAGAAATGACGAAAGAATGAAAGATCAATAAATGACGAAATGAAGAAAAAAACAATGACACACACACACACAAAAAAAAAAAAAAAGCACAAGAGAAAGAACAAACTAGTTTCCTACGATGATGGTTTAGGGGCGCTAAAGTGGCATCAGAATCAGGGCCTTTTGCTTCTAGGAATGATCATCACGCTAGGTTTTTCCCCCGAGCCGGAACACCAAAACCCAGGCCCCTCCGCCCCCTCAAAATACCCGATGCCCTAACCCCTAGATCCGCCCTAAGACCTAAATCGCAAAAACCTTACACCCCAAACCCAAAACCCCAAAACCCCAAACTCAAACCCTGGAAAACCCAAACCTTGAATCCAGCCCATCCCATCCCATCCCATCCGGCCTAATGGTCACGTTGCGCAGAAGGATGCCCTTAGGGTTTAGGGCTTAGGGTTCAGGGTTTAGGGTTTAGGGTTTAGGGTTTAGGGTTTAGGGTTTAGGGTTTAGGGTTTACTTGCCATTGCTTGCATTTCTCGACTGATACTTGGGTGATCAGTCTTGGATCCTCTGTCAAAATTTCGTGCACTACGGGCAAAGCGAGATCCAGAAGTATGTCTCAAGGCGCTAAGATGCTTTCCAACAAGACATGTAAAGATGTGGCAAGCCCTTCGGAAGGGATGATGGGTTTGGGGTTTAGGGTTTAGGGTTTAGGGTTTAGGGTTTAGGGTTTAGGGTTTAGGGTTTAGGGTTTAGGGTTTAGGGTTTAGGGTTTAGGGTTTAGGGTTTAGGGTTTAGGGTTTAGGGTTTAGGATATTCTACAGGGTCATGATCGTAAGCCTCTCCAAGAAAAAGGTCATATCCAAGAATGAAATCCATGCTCTACATACTCCCTAATTCAGCACGCACAGCTGTCGCCCATAAACATTCATTTGCGTACAACTTTGATTCTTTTCAAGCAACACGTTCGCGGGTGTCAGCATTATGGGACCAGAAAGCGGGGGACCATCGAGTCTTTAGCTCTTCCTCACTTTCTGAAGGATCCTCCCAATCACTTCTCTCCATCAGCAAAGCCTTCCAGAAGAGCCTCCGCTGGAAACGAAAGAACTTGTTGAGTTGACTGACTGACAACAGAAGAACTCTAGCCACCCAAAATGGCCACGGGGTTTAGGGGTTTAGGGTTCCCCCTACTTGCAGTCGTTCCTGCTGGCGCGCAAGTTTCTCCTGTGTATGCTACCATGCGATGCGGAAACGACAGCAATCTCCGGCAACAAGGCCCCCGCGAAAGGGCCGAGAATACACCAGAAATTGAGGAATGCATGCACGCAACATGGAGGCCTTACCCCGTAAACATTCCAAAAGGGATCAGCCCCCTGTCAGGCTTAACAGGAGCCAGAACCTATATAAACCAAAAAACCCCAACCGCCAAACCCGCTAAACCGGCCTAAGCCCCCCAAGCCCTAAACCACTAAACTGGCCTCAGCCCCCAAACCCCTTTTAACCCCCCAACCCCTAAACCCCTAAACCGACCGAAGCCCCCAAACCCCTAAACTACCAAACCCGAAACCACAAAACTGGCCTACGCCCCCAAATCCCTTTCACACCCCCAAGTCCTAAGCCCCGTAACCGGCCGAAGCCCCCAAACCCCTAAACCCCCAAACCCTAAACCACTAAGCGGCCAAAGCCCCCAAGCCCTACACGACCAAACCCTAAACCACTAAACCGGCCGAAGCCCCCCAACCCCGAAACCGGCCTAACTCCTAAACCCTAAACCCTAAACCCTAAACCCTAAACCCTGAACCCTAAACCCTAAACCCTAAACCCTAAACCCCCGGAGGCCGGGAGCCCTGACCGCGGACTCTTGAAACTGCACCACGTGGGGACGACCCAGGAGCGGCTCCCGAAGCCAGCGCCTCAAAGGTGGTTTAGGGTTTAGGGTTTAGGGTTCAGGGTTGAAGGTTTAGGGTTAGGGTTTGGGGGTATAGGGATGTTTAGGTTTAGGGATTGGGGTTTGGGGTTTGGGGTTTGGGGTTTAGGGATTGAGGTTGCCGAATTTGTAGCCCCAAATTCCTCGCGAGGATAGGCCCCAAACCCTCAACCCTGAACCCCAAACCCTGAACCAAAACCCCGAAACCCAAAATCCTGGGTTTTTCGGCCTCGGAGAAGTTGCTTGAGCACACCTCGCCCGCCAGACGTCTTTACTGATAAGTTCGCTGACCCAACCTCTAAGTGCCAGGGTTTGGGGTTTCGGGTTTAGGGTTTCGGGCCACCCCCAAACCCCAAACCCTCAAGTTTACACGCCCGAAGCTGCAAGGCGCAAACCCTGAACCCTAAACCCCAAACCCTAAACCCTAAACCCCGAAAGCCGAGGCCCCGGACGTCCACCACTCAGCGCCCCGTCCTCAGCTCTGCAGGATCAGGGTTGTACTTGGAGGTTCATGGTGCTTACTAACAGGGTTTAGGGTTTAGGGTTTAGGGTGTAGGGTTTAGGGTTTAGGGTTTAGGGTTTAGGGTTTAGGGTTTAGGGTTTAGGTTGAGGGTTGAGGGTTTAGGGTTTAGGGTTTAGGGTTTAGGGTTTAGGGTTTAGGGTTTAGGGTTTAGGATGTAGGGTTGAGGGTTGAGGGTTG